GGGGTGGGGGGGGGGGTGGAACAGTGGGTGGGCTTCTGGAGGTCTGGCCCCGCTGGTGGACCTCCTGAGCCAGTTTGGTGTAGTGGTTAAGTGCGCGGACTCTAATCTGGGAGAAGCGGGTTTGATTCCCCACTCCTCCACTTGCACCTGCTGATGTGACCTTGGGTCAGTCACAAGCTCTGGCACAGCTGTCCTTGAAAAAGAGCAGTTTGTGGCAGAGTTCTCTCAGCCCCACCCACCTCACAGGGTGTCTGTTGTGGGGAGGGGGAGGGAAAGGAGTTTGTAAGCCACTCTGAGACTCCAAGTGAAGGGCGGGGTATAAATCCAATCTCTTCTTCTTCTTCTTCTGATGGCACCTGGGTTTTGGCTACTATGTGACACAGATGGGCCATTGGCCTGATCCAACACTGGCTTTCCTTATATTCTTAATCCATTATGTGGAACATCGCAGAAGTGGGGGGAAACATCCAAAGAGGTCTTTCAGTCAATCCTACTTGCCTAACGTGACATTCATTCTATTCTACAGCTTTTCTAACAGGCTAAGTCAGTTCTTACAACATCCCTAATTTTTGTTTAGCCTAACTACAGGCTCTGCGAGGTAAGCTAGGCAGTACAAAGGTGACCTTCCCAAGCATCTCTGGTGAGACCCAAGATGACCCAGGCTAGCCATCAGGTCTCAGAACCTCAGCAGAGTTGTCTCTGGTTAGTACTTGGACGGGAGACCATCAAGGGTTGGTCAAGGGCTGCTACGCAGAGGCAGGCAATGGCAAAACTACCCTGGCCTTGAAGACCCTACTGTAACTTCATTGCACTTTCCACCACCATAATCTGGTGAGTCTTATGCCCGAGCACCAGTTTGAACTTGTGTCTTCTTTGTAAAACCACAACTGACTAGAAATTCCTTTGTGTTCTTATACACATTCATGGAGAACAGAGCAATCAGTGGCTATTGGCCACAATGCCTGAATAGCGCATCTGTGTGTAGGGGCAAGTCCATCTCTGAAAACCAGGTGACAGGGACAGATTTGCACTGATTCAGCAGAAAAACTGGCCGTCCAAGGCAAGCGACAGCAGCAGGCCAAATTCCCTTTTCTACACAAGCCCTACTTTTTTCAGTTTTATAACCATAATGGAAGACATGAAGTATGGCTAACACAACTTTAGGGTACCGGGGTAAAGGCAAGGCCTGAGATCCATCTGAGATAGGGTTGCCAACTCTGGGTTACGAAATTCCTGGAGATTTTGTGGGTGGAGTCTGAGGGCAAGGTTTTGAGGAGGGGAGGGACCTAAGTGGGCTCTAATGCCCTTGAATCTCCCTTCAAAAGCATCCACTTTGTCCAGGGGAAACGATCTCAGTAGCCTGGAGAGCAGTTGTAATTCCAGAAGATCTCCAGCCACCACCTGGAGGCTGGCAACCCTAAATTCCAAGATCACCTGTTCTCTTGTTTCCATCTCAACTATTTAGATCAACCAAACAAACCTTCTTGACAGGACCAGCAGCATGCCATGTTCAGATAGTGCCTAGAGAGACATTCTTCGATTGTTGACCCACGGCTTGGAGACTCTGTTCCTCTTATGGTTGCCAGATCCAGGTTGGGAAATTCCTGGAGATTTGGGGATGAAGTCTGGGGAGGACAGGGACCTCAGCAGGGTACAGTGCCACAGAGTCCACCCTCCAAAGCATCCGTCCTCTCCAGGGGAACAGATCTCTGTAGTCTGGTGATGAGTTGTAATTCTGGGGGACCCCCATGTCCCACCTGGAGGCTGGCCTCCCTACTTCCTCTGGAAGTCCATACAATCTTGAGTCTGTCTACTTCCCTGAAGGGCTATCCTTGGGCCTGGCATACAGCAGCCAGGATTAAGCACAAAGGGCTATAATTGCAGAGAAGCTAATTGGGGGGGGGACCCTAAATTGGGTGGTGGAAAGGCCACTTTAAAATGTTTTAAATAAATAAAACAATAAAAAAATAGCTTATTAGGACCAGTAGGGTCACCCTATTTTGAAAAGAAAAAGAAAAAAAGGACATACTTCCCGATTGCAAGTTATCACTTTGACAAATCTCATTTTAAATACTCCTACTATTTAAGCTGTGATAATTGCTACTAACTAGGAGTATTGCTGATCTTCCAGCCCCCAAAGAAGACATTTTCAAAGAAACCAAACAGGGCAGACACCCAAAAAAAGGAGAATATGTCCACTAAAAAGAGGAGAGCTGGTAACCCTAAGGTCCAGTCATAAAATAATATGCAAATATATACTGAGAGATTCACCCGATCTCAGCCCTGGAACCTTCTTGGAATACTGGCCTTTCCTGCCCTCAAATATACCAAATGAATGATTATGAAAAATATGAGTATCACGTGCAATGCAGAATGCATCTCCTGTGAAGATCTCACCTCCACCTCCTCTAGTCTTCAGACATGTATGCCTGGGGTAAAGGTAGATTCAGATCGGTAGCCACGTTGGTCAGAAGCAGCAGAACAAAGTTTGGATCCAGTGGTGGCGCCTTTAAGACCAACAAAGTTTTATTCAAAGTGTAAGCTTTCGTGTGCAAAACACACTTCTTCAAACAAAACTGGAATAAGATCTCAAAAGCTAGTTACAGGAGAAAAAGAGGGTGGGGGGTAAGCCGTTAGGAGAGGCCACTCAGAGCCCAGATGCCTAAGTAGAGTTGAAACTGGAAAGGGTGGCCGGTAGGATAAATGGACGGCAGCAAATGAGCACGTAAATGCAAGAGTTAAAGAGAGATGGGAGAATGAAATTGGGTAAAGGTAAACCTGGTTGCGTAGCTTGTAGAAGGTTGCGCCTGACAGCAGTTCTCTTGGGAGCAAGCGGAATAACTTGTCGCAGAAGACCACTTTAATAAGTCACCCAACCTTTGAGTTTGTCCGATCAAAATATTGCGCCGCTGCACCTTTTAGATCCCCCCCCCCGGTAGCCTACATTTGTCTTAAGTTTTTAGGGAAACGGCACACTCTTGTGCTGAGGTTACGTTTTGCTAAGTCCCACTTATTACTACATTTCCCTGCAGGCTCTGCGGCAGCAGGCGGAAGCCACGCGACGTTTCGAGGGGCGGGGTTCCGGCGAGCTCGCTCGGCCCGACCGGGTAGTGCTGACGCTCTCTTCCGTTCTGTTGGCAGCGGCAGAAGCAAAGGTGGGAGAATCCAGTCTCTGGCATGGTTGAGGAAGAAAGTAGTTGGGAGGTTCGGGCAGAGGAAATGCAGAAGGTTCCGGGGGGAGGAGATTAATTTGTTTGTGGCATCTGGTAGAGAAAAGGGGGAAAGAGGCGATTGAATGGACGATGCTGGCAGAGAGAAAATTGGGAGTCTTGACAGAGGAAGTGCAAACTTGGGAGTGGGAGGAAGATCTAGAAATGTAAGCAACCTATTGGGGGGGGGGGGGGTCCCCAAAAAATTAAAGGGGATATTTGGAATGAAGGACCGTGTAAAGACACATAAGGGGCGATTGTTGGGGGAGGAAAAAATGCCTCCCCCCATTCTTTGGGAGAAGAC